GATAATTTTAACTCCCGAACGCATGAGTATCGGCCTCCGAGCATTCCTCGTCGTAGCCGATAGCTTGCAGCAGAAAGAGGGAGAACCACCTATGCCGCGCACTATGGGTGTCTTGCCAAGTGGAAACACCATGCGTGTTAAAAAGACATATTTGAATAAAGTATGTATCATATACATAATTCTTATGGATATATCGAATATATCGAGTGGTATTTTCATGAATGTGTTTTTATGATTTAGATGCTAACAGAAGACACCGCGCGAAGCATAGGAATGTCTTCATATTTTCCACACGTACGCCGAGTGTTCGTGGATATCCTGCGCGCGTTAGACGTTCATTACGGCAGACCTCTCATGATGACCAGCACTCAGAATATGAACAAGGAGCCGGACGAGATGATCACCGGAGAACGCAAGCCTCGAATAGATCTCTTCCGAACTTGCGTCGCCGCCGTTCCGCGACTGATTCCCGATGGAATGACTGGTGCGGAATTGGTCGACTTATTGGCTCGTTTGACAGTACACATGGATGAGGAACTGCGTGCATTGGCATATCAAAGCTTGCAGACTCTAGTATTAGATTTTCCCGATTGGCGACAGGACGTCGTGCTTGGGTTTACGCAGTTTCTAGCCAGGGACGTGCAAGATACGTTTCCGCAGCTTATTGACAATGGTCTGAGAATGCTGCTGCAATTGCTGACCAGTTGGAAGAACGCCCTGACGAGTCCCAGTATAAGATCTAAGGAACAAGCAGTGGATAATACGCGGGTCAATATACGAGTGGACGTTGGGATCAAGAAATGCGAAACGGGCCAGGTTTGCATTAATTTTTATTATATTGGAATTTGCAGGCAACGTACAAAATGCAATGTAAAATTTATTTCTTATTTACAGAAAATAGAACCTGTATCGAACATATTTTATCTAGTGGAAGGATTCGCCTTGGTTATGCTCTGCAATTGTCGTCTTTATCCTCGACGATTGGCTGTCCATATTCTTCGGGAAATTAAGCTTTTACTGAAGACTTTAGGTAATTATATTTACATGTATTGTATGTATATACGCAATCCATCACAATGTATGGCTTATATACATCCATCTTTTTAGGAGGACCCGAAGATGATCAACCAGTTATTGATGTGATCGATGCTTGCTGTCCCGCCGTCTTGGAAAAATGTTATCCTATGTTACCGCCAGCAGAGAAAGCAGCTGCTGCGTCTACATCTAACGTGGATTTGCAATGGATAGCCGACAGAAGTAGTTGTGTTTGGACAGCTGGTAATATTTAATTTTCCACACTTTTGATATGTAAATCATACATTACATTCATTTATATTTATTTTACGTTGCAGGCTTTCACGACGAAAACAGTACCAAGAGTTCTTCCTCGCTCAATTTAAATGGAGCCGATCCGTGGGCCAGTTGTCTATTTGCCTTTTTGGAAAAGGATAGAGTGCTTACGCTGTGTCCAAATGCCGTCGCTCATTCTTGGCCCATTGTCTTCACTCGTATAAACTCTTTGTTCTCGGTGGTGGATCCCACGTAAGTTTAACTCTCAATGTGTATATTATCTACTATTTAAATTTTGAAATAAAATTAACATTTCTGTCTTTGTATTTATACAGGCCGGTAAATGACAATCGAGCTTCGTTATTGCGCAGTTCGACGACAGTGAGAAAACCAGTGAACGAGAGAGATGTCTATATGCACATCTGGAAAAATTATCTGACCTTTGGATACAGAGTCGTGCCACCAGTGCCGAATCCAGTTGTCCGATGCGCCAGTCCGGATCTCAGTCTCAGGTAAGTTAGTCATATGAAAACTTACAGCGGGAGTTCAAATATATTGTATCATCTTATTATATATTATTTAATTTTCTTGTTAGTTTTAATACAGTATTCTTAATACAGTATTCATTTTATTATGAATCATTTAAGTACATATAATCGCGTGCATCGCTACACTCGCTATAAATGCAATTGACAGAGTTTGAATAAACGCGAGCAGTAAAGTATCTCATTCAAGCATCTGCATTCGAGAAAACGTGTGCACACGGTTTATGTTTATATCAATTACGTCTAGTCTGATAATATATTTCGATAAAACTTTGAATAACTATAAAAACTCACATGTTTAGCAGTAAATAATATATTAAAGCTTTAAGTGTCTATATGAAAAGTGAGTCACGGAAGATCAATAATCAACTTGGTATTAATTGGTGTTGGGTCATGTTTGTTAGTGTCCACTATTTCATACAGAAATATCTTACTTTATTCGTCTCGTGGAATGTCTGTCCGTTAAATATTTTACAGAATCGTAAAGTTTATATTCTTAATTTTAAACGTTAATTCTCTCTCTACACTGGCACAGTTACTGAATTATAATTTCGTAATGTTCTACATTAAATATTAAAATATCTAATGTTATATGTACTCACACGATATTCTCTATCTGATGTTGCACACATCCAGCAATGGAAATTCTTCTGTCGTATAGACTGGCACCAATTCGTATCAATATCGCGCTTTGCATTCGGGAGCGGAATCCATACTTGTTCTGTCCTTTCTTCCATCCATGCATATACATACTTCGCTTTATTTTCCGCAACACGCTACATCTCTCGCATGCTGTCTCCTATCGTTGTCTCTCGTACATGTACATCTTCCTCTCTCTTCCTCTCTCTTTCTTTCTGGATATTAGAGTAGTAGTCTCTGAGAAGTAAATAATATCTGATACAAGGAGCATTGGTGGTACACTGTATTGCATACTCTAGTGGTCAGCATACGGTGGAGTTTGGTGTGTTGTGCATGAGTAAGGAGTTGAGTCAGAGCCTGGAGAATCTCGGCGGGGCGCAGACCCTGCCGGGTCGGTTCTCTGTACCGTCCATTTCCGGCATCTACACCCGGCATAAGCGTACCAGGTGAGCCTGAGATTAACAATCGCGAACAAACGACCATGCTTCCTTCGATGTCACCCGGGATTTAAACGGTCGTTGGTAATTCGCACCTTCGTACCTTTTGTAATATTAATCTCTATTGAATCTATTTGTCTCTTCTTACTCTCTTAACGCAGCCCAGTTTGGTATACCCCCCTTTTTTTTCCATTGAACTTTCAGCTTGCGAACTCTCTCGCCACCCTAACAAGTTCTTTTCGCGCGTACTTGCGTATATACCACCCTTGCCTAGCCTTACGACCGTTCCCGATCGCTTCTTTTTCCGGAGATTAAACTGCGACCGGATATTCTAGAGCGCACAATTGTTAATTTACGAGCTTCGGTAACGTAACTGTGAACGAAACGTAGTGAAACGCAACAGTCTCATTTCCGCAGCTCCTCACCTGACAGTTTATCCGCGGAACGGGGCGATAACAAATCACCTGGCACAAACGCGAGTCCCGCGGCCTTGTATAAGCTGACCGTACCCTTGCTGAGATGCGAGGCCGTCGACGTCAGGGATGCCGCGGTGCAGGCGATTGGAAAAGTAAACGCCGATGCTCTAAAGTAAGTACATTACCAGCCGAGATCCCAAACGACGAGAAATAGATTAAACTGTAAGAAGATTCTCTTCTTGACACAGAGACTTGATGGAGGAACTGGTACCTTACATCCGGGAAGCGGTCGATCGGAAGCAGGAGAACATGAGACGGCGAAGAAGACGCGACGCTTTGAGACTGCAGCTAGTAAGAGTACTGGAATTAATTGCAGAGTATGGAACGTTCGGTATCTGGTTAGTTCATACATTATTTTGCACTTTGCTTCTCATTTTTTTACTCAACGGATTTTAAAAAATCATCTGTTTTCAGCCCAGCGGTTTTAGACCGTGAAACGCAGTCTTTACATCCGACATTCGTCGAATATATAGATGGTGCGCGCGTTTACTTAGAAAACGAGACCGACAAGGAAGCACCCGCTGTACGGGACATCAAATTGCACTTCTGCAACTTTATCAGGAAGATGATCAAGAGTTTTTCACGTAAGCGATTTTATTCCGATAATCCCGAATTTCGAAATCAAAATATGTGTAATGTTCTTTAAGAGATTTATTAATTATCTTTTTTTTTTACTTTTTTAGTGGAGATATGCTATACATTGTTAAAGAGGGACTTAAGAAGAAATCTATTCATGCTCTTCGCTAGTTGGGCTGGTGTTTACGGCAGGCCGCTTACGAGTATATCGTCTATGCAAGAAGAAGAAAAGTCTTGCACGGAATTACAACTCTCAGCCTTGCAAGCTATGAGTGGATTACTCTGTTGCGGTTCCTGTTTCAATCCGCAGTCGCTTTCGGAAGAGGGTGCGATTTTGTATCAATGGCTGGACTTGTTACTGGCCAGTAAAGATGAAAAGGTAAGTTTTATCTCGTATAAGATTTTATCTCTAAACGCGTGCGCGCGTCATTAGCATTCAAGATTATTATGCAAAACTGCAGTTAATATTCTATTATATGTTGGATATATTAAATGTTAATGCGTTATATGTATTAATATTAGATCCCCATATAATACGGGTTTATATAACACGGACTCGTATAACATAATTGGAAAATTTTAATATTTGTTTGTTTTAAAACAAAATAAAAAAAATATTTTACTGTTACATCTTTAATATTTATTTTACATTTTTTATAATAAACCGTTACATCTTTATAAATATGTGTTCTTCATATGCATACATAATCCATAGATGTATGATCTACTATGTGACGTATATCACGTACTCATATAACGGATTCATATAACACGCAACGCATCCCCCGCATTATACGGGGTTCTATTGTATTTGATTTCACATATTTCTATCTATATCATATCTCTTGTTTCAGATTTATACGCTTGCACGTGAAACCGTCGTGTTACTGCTCGAGGGAAATCCCGATATTGGTACACTTTTGGATTGGGTGGTGGATCGATGTTACACTGGCGCACCGCAGGTGGCCGATGGTTGTTTTCTCGCATTGGCAACAATTTTTAGCGCCAGGTACGCACGAATCAAAAGTAAATATAGAATAAATATTTTATACAAAAACGTTTATTGAAGTAGTGAAGTATCGCGTAAAAGAGTCACGGTGCGATCTCGCTCCGCGTGTACTTAGCGCGAGACACTACCGTGTCTCTTGATATTAGAAGAAAATACGATATATACATAGCGAGTAAAGACTGCGAGACATATATTTCTTGACAGAGTCGCGGATATAAGCCGCAGATAGAATAACAAAGCTAATAAACAGTATGACAATCGTGAGTTTATGATTTTCTTTTCTTTAGGGAGTATCCTTGCGACCATTACACGAGTGTCATCAACGTAACATTAATGAATACAGGATGTCCTCGCGCTCCAGTTCACGATGCAGCGCTTCAACTTCTTCAACTACTGGATCAACGCTTCTTCGGAAATGTAGGTCCGCTTCCAGCTACAGAACTCGAAGCTGGTAAGCTTATAATCCATGTTTTCATATATGTGCACCGTAATACTATGTCGGTACATTACACATAATTCTCTGATTGTCTTCTAACATGCATTTACTCAGTTGTTTGAAACTGATGTTTTATTGTATCATAATTCTTTATTCACTGGTAGCTTTTGCGTCTCCTGAGAGTTTTTCTGTTGCGCATTGTCGGCAAAGTGCGGCCGTTTTGTTGAGGTGTATCTGCGCGTGAATTCTGAAACTGTAAAGAAACGCAAGATTTTATTAAATTGAACAAACCTGATCATATATATATTTTTTTAAAATTTCTCAATCAATACAATATCTGCGCACATATATTTTGTCATTATGTTGTCTTATTATAATTAGATAATTAAGTGCTTACCACACTGTTTTCCATGACTCGCCATCTGCATGAGAGTTCCACTTCTCCTAGTACTTGAACGCTTTGTACACATGTGAACCATCTCTCTGCGAAAATTCTGTCCGCTCGCGCAGTAAAGAATGAAATTTATTCCGAAACTCGTGTCGAATAATAATTGGCACATTTGTTGCGCCAAAATAAGCCATATCACTGATTTGCTGTTATCCTGAATTTAGATATATAGTGATTATTAACATTATTCATTAGCGTACAATTTTTTTAGCAGTACATTAAAATTTATCTAGATATAAGCAGTAATATCATGAGTCAATAAAGTATTAACAATGGGGAATAATATAAAATTGTGGTATATAGCTGTTTAAACATGAAAAACATCTGATTTTGCAAAAGTACCGTACAGCGTGAGAGTGTATTAAATTAGATTCGATTAAACATCAAAAATTATAAAAAAAATGTATGAAATTCAGAAAAAGTTTAATGATACTACTTTATTATTCAGAATTCGCTTTTTAGAGCAAAAGTATTTGACTTTAACTATATTTAACATTAAATATCGATACGTACGTAGAGGAAAGCGACCACCCTGAGAACGAATGCAGGCATATTGAGGCAGAAGAACGCAGTCGAAACGAGCAGAAGCATTTTCGTGACTTTAGTCTGCGGCATTCTGTCTCGTGGAGTATGAGCCCTCTCGTTGGAAATATTGGATTCTATAGTCAAAGTTCTTCGGATGTGGTCGAGCTTGTAGATGTTGCGCGCTATCAGAGTATTGAAGATCACTATCAAGGTCAGAGGCACGGCAAATGTCATGACAATATCAAAGGTGTTGTAAGCGATTGCCCAGGACTCCCAGTCTTTGTCCAAGCCACAGGTCGAGTTTTTATCGATTTTGGAGAACCAAATCACTGGGCTGCTCAGCAGAATCGCTAATGCTGTTAGTCCCATCACTGTCATCTTCGCTCGGGCTACTGTACACAAGATTTGGCGACGAAGCGGCCACCTGACTGCCATGTATCGCTCAATGGTGAAGGCTACTACGAGCCACACGCTGAGGAAGCTACAGAGAGTGCCGAGATAGACGAAGAACTGGCAGAAGCCATGCCGATTGAATAGATTCACGTGCACCATTTTTAGCCAGGTCACGAAAACTGCTATCAGGAAGCCGCTATCGCTTATTGCTAGCGCTCCCAAGTAAATGCTGGATGAGGAATAACGTAGTTTCGTGCCGAAGAATACGCACATGGACAGACAATTGCCCAGCAGGCCCAGGAGTACGAGAATCGGCGTATAATACTGTTGGATTTGCTGTAAGAAATGGTCGGCTTCCTGATAGGGTCTGTATACCGTTGTAATGTTGCTACTATTCTCAGCCATCATCTTCACGTGTTGATCTCAAGCTGCCATCAATGAGAAGAAAAGCGAAAGGCAGTATAACCGCGCCGAGCATAACAGCTTGCGTCATGCATGATAATCTGAAAGAGCATTAGTGTCTCATACAGAAGAAGATAGAAAAACAGAGGAGGAGGAGGAGAGAGAGAGAGAGGGAGGATATTCTAAATATCTCGCGTTTTCTCTGGATCATCCACATGGGGACTGAATTTAGAAACTGAAGCAATATCAGCGGTGGTCGTTTGATGTTCGAAAAGCCAAACAGTTATTCAACGTTAAAAATCAGAAATTATTCAACGTTAAAAGTCAGAATTTTTTCAGCGAATTAAATATTCATATTTGGAAGAGATCATAAAATTTACAATTTTTTAATTAATGTAAAGCATCTCTAATTTAACTACTTTTAAACGGATTTTGTTAGAATTAATTTACGTAACTTCTCTAGTCGTATTGATGTCGATATTAGAAGACAGAAAGCGACCAGTGATAACTGATATATTCATATGTTTTTCAATTATTTCATTGTCGTTTGATTAACACAATCACTTTGCATTCTTATCGTATGTCACGAGATATAGTCTTTGCGTATTACGAAAACAAAAAAAGTTACGGGGACCTTGCTGCTTATCGCTCGCAGGAAATCCTTCGCGCAATAGATATACGTTAATAAATCATTATTGTGCAACTGTTGATTCAGATTATGTTACATATTTATTCGTATGTTACATGAATCTGTTATACATTGTCTGAAATTTCATATTATTGATTTATTTATTGAAATAAAGTAAAAATTAAAACACAAATTCGACACGCGTTTTCATCGATATTAATTTTATTATATAATTAAGAACTATCTTACAATGTGATGACAACTGCATAACAAAAATTCTTATCTTTTCGTGTTATCGCGAAAAATCCGATATAGTTGGCAATCTCGGTGAATGCTCGTTTTTTCGTAATATAACTAACAGTAATAGTTCATTTTCTGAATGTAAATAATTACCGTGGATATGATCACAAGAGAATTTTGTTGATATGATTTCGTATCTTTGGTAATGACGGAGCTTCATATTTACTTCATAGTTACACTTCTGAACAGTACGCGTTAGAAACCGGCGAATCGGAAAATTTTATGTTTCTCTCTACTTAGCTCGTTTCACATATCTTTCGGGCCACACAATTCTATAGCACTTTTATAATGATTTTAATGATTTATGACCGAACCGTTGATCCAAATATAAATGGATAAAAATAAAATGTATATCGCTTTGGTATAACATTTTTAAATAATTTCTATAATATAAAAGAATATAAATCTTTTTATAAAATATAATAAAATACTTTTTATCGTGCCGAAATAATTATAGAAAAAAATAAATATGTAAAAATATATAAAAAGATACTACAATAGAATAGAACTAGATTCACATGAAACATTTTTAAGAGAAGAAAAGAACGAACATTTTTCTATTCTTCTCTACATTCTATATCTTTTTATGAACATGACGTAAACAGTCTTTAGTTTTTTTATTTGAATTAGATTATAAAAAGAACTCGTCAAACAGGAATGTCTTAAATATTAATTAATGCGTACCTGTATGTTGATATTCAATAAATGAAGCTACATGTTTTAGTTATGAGACGTGCGGACGCAAGTCATTTATTGGACTGCCATCCAGATTCTAAAGATGATTTTGTGACCGGGTGCCGAGAGCTCCTTTTAACCGCGGTCTTCCAACACTCGAGTGCTTCAATTCATATATATCTCTCACACATCAACGATCTTAACATTTTGTAAATATAAGATGATCCCTCCCGACACTTAGTTGGCACGGCAACGTGCGGTGCCGGTGCGAGATTCTTTCGTCAGCCACTCGTTAATATTATTTAATGAGATGTTTTTCATTTCAGACAGTCGCGCGACACTTGATTTTAATACCGCGACTTATTAACAGTAGATTGATTAGGTCTAAGTAAGATCCGGTATATGAATCACGTTATAAGTATTATCAATCACGTTAATAGCAGCGAGACATTTTGCTTTTTTTTATTTTCAAATGGGAAGCAACAAGTTTATGAGTGCACTTAATGATAAGAATAATTTGGATTTGGTAGTTGGTGTACTTAGTTTTCGAGACACTAATGTATGTAACACTAATGTATGTAACACTTTCGGAGAATATATTCGAGTGCCGTCTCAGCTATTTCTGCTGGATGCTCCGACGCATCCATGGCTGATAAAGCTCGCTGCATCCAGTATTCCGGCTTCTGCGCATCAAAGTAATGTACAAATTCCCGCCTCTTCGCGACGCACGTCAATTTGCCGTGTCGCGAGGGAGAGATTCATATTTTCGCAATTTACACATTTTACCCATTAGTTACTTTTTGTTTTTACAAACTGTTACGAGATGTGTAACATCGACGTTTATGTTAAAAAAAAGAGTTGTAAAAAATTTTTATTACATATGAAATACAATGTCATATTTTACTAAAGATTTTTTACCCGCAAGAATTTTTTTTTTTGATAAAGAGTTATGAGCATGTGAACTAGTTTTTATCACGTTATTTCGCCTATTAATGCAAAATAAAATTAATAATCTTAAACCGATAGTAATTATTACATTATATACATTATAAGCAATCATACATTTGCACAGCTTTTGTTTGCAGCTTTTAAATTTCAATAAAATTTAAAAGTTTCACGTTACTATTGACATATATATTTGAATTGGAACATACCGGTTCAAAGAAATGAATTAAACTTTTCTTATATGAAAAAAAGATTATATGCAAGTAACGCGCCCTTTGACATATCATGTATAAAATTCTGTTTGAGAAGCATCCGTCCAAAAGGAAATAAGTTTCCATGAATGCAAAGAAATTGTAGCATAACGAGACTCATTCTCTTCCTGCAAAGAGAATATATTTAATTTGCCGGAAGGAAAAGCATGTATACAGTTATATATAATAAAATATACTTTTTCTGTAAAATATATACTTTCTCTGTGATCAGGATGATCGTTGTAACACCAAGGAATTACGCAATGTAAATACATGATAAATGTCAAATCATATTGATTTGGTATTAATTAATTATTATTGAGAAAATAATCGTTGACCTTAAAGCGCTCAACAAGTTTTACTGCTAAATGTCATCGGTATTGATAACGATAATAATTATTAGACAAAAAGTTTTGTAGGTATTCATTGTGCTTTCTCGCGCTATTGTATTTCCTTTACAGTTCGTTAATTAAATGGTTTTCATTTATAAAATCTTTTATCAGCTATAGATTTTCAAATGAATTCATTCTTCTTTAATGGAAATTTATTAGAAATTTATTAATTAAAAAATTTTTACAATTAAATAGAGATAAAACCATATCTTTGGTCGAGTTAGATCTTTGTAGCTTGCAATATTTTTGCTTGAATTTAAATACTTTTTTCCATTCAAACTGCGCACCAATTATTTATCGGTCTTAAAACATGGTTTTTCGTTGGAACAATAAATTTAACATATTTAAAGTTAATAATTTAACTTTTTTATATTATTAAGCACTTTAAATCACTAAAGAATTTATTGCGAAAAATATCGCGCAACGTGACGGGCGTCTTTAATAATTCAATCACTGAGGCATGTTATTTATATTAAAAAAATTTTTTTTTGCACAATTTTTTAACATTACAACAAACAGATAAATAAAACTTTCTTTTATTGAATATATAGTGAAATTTTAACTAAGTCTTCATTCTATAATGAAATTTTAGAGCAATCTTGGGTAATTAATAGGGTATTTAACTTCCTTATTGATTCAATAATGTAATTTGGTATTTTATCTGGATTTCTCAGGCCACAACGATCCTCTTGCAAGCTCTGCCGCTACTGTGACTTCCGGCGGGCCAGGTCAACAAAGTAATCCTGTAGGTGAGATTTCTTCCGGCGGCACGATCAGAGGTGGCACATTGGATGTCCTCTTGTCGACCACTTATTGTCGCAGCCAAATGTACCTTTCACGTCAACTGGCTCAATTACATCCGGAACTCACGATGCCGATGTTCAGCGGTAAATGGACTTTTCATGTTTTGTTAACACTTCACGCCTGAAATGCGTCACGTTGTCCCAGAAACTCAGCATGTTAAGATTTTGAGACAACACGACACATCTCGATGAAATTTTTAAGAAAATTATTGCTTCCAATTTTAAATCAAAATAAAATTTCATGTTTCGCTTTGATATTTTTGAAGTAATTATTTTAATGTAGTTGATTAAGAATACTGTATTTTGTAATTATTTTATAACTGTAATATCGTGGCACTCAATGTCTTACTATTATAATATTGATGTTAATTATAATTCGAGGAGGAAGGGATGTATGATAAAACACAATTAACAACTTTTGTGGTCTATTGAATGCTTCAGTTATAGAGGACAGGCTTTAGAATTATTTCCTCGCAATTGAAACTTTGTCTGCTCCTTGTAATTAAAATGAAATATGTTCTAAATATGATCTAATAACCTTTATTTAATATACACGACGGTATATATGTTTCCGTACTGCAGTTTAATACGCAGTTAAACATTAAAAAATGGATGCAAAAAAAATACAATGTAGAACATATTAATCGTAAGTTATTAAAAACGTTTCATGCATGAAAATTGCGGTTTTTCTCCTCAAAGCTCATGGTTTTTTTTAATTGAAAAGTAGCGTATTTATTATATACTTACATTTTATTCAGAACCATAAGAATGAAAAAAGACACTCAAGAAAAACGTCTCTTATATAAATGATAATTTTAATATTCCTTAATATATAAAATTTTTTATTTACTGGCGCAACAGTTAATATTGATCCCTCGATATATAGAATTTTATTTGTTTCAGCAGTTAATAAACACGCAAGAGATTTTCATGCATTTATAAAAATAAAAATTATGTTAATTAAAGTGAAAGTTGGATTTTCGACGTGACTTATAAATTTACATACAGAATGCTTGCTGGTAAAAAAATTGTTTTTATGCTTTTTATGAGCTTGGACATATGGAAAAGTCATATGCACTTTATTAAACTTTTATATTACATTGGTAAATAATATGGTAGAGTTATATTCTCGGTTATATTAACGGAAAGGAAATATTGCAAGGGTATTGCTTACGCACGGAAACGTGTAATTACAATGAGGTGGTCATAGAATGTTCGCGGGATTTAACAGAGTTATCACAAGTATTTGTATAAATAATTTATCACTCTAGAGTGATGCTGTCAATAACAATCTTCTTGTGCCCGCGTTTTTATCGATTGTTATTCCAGAGGCGGGTCGCTATCGCGTAAATATTACCGCGCATCTGTTTTGACTAATCGAACAGGCTCTCATTATATGTAATTTAATATCGGAGAAACGTCGGTAAAAGTGATAAATAGTAGAGCTTTTCTATACTGATAGAATTGTGCTGATAGATTATAAATGTATTTATGTATACCTGCACATTTACTTAAATACATATCATCTCGAATATTAATTATTAGTGCCATAACTTAAACGTATAGAGATTTGCATGTGTATCGCGATATCAGCAAAGTAATGATTTACGGTGTAAAATTCATTAAAGAGTACTCTTCTTGCTTCATTCAGTTATATTTGATGCGATTGAAGAGCCCAATAAAGTAAATTTAATTAATTTTTTTAAAGAGAATTTGAGAAAATGAGATTGGATTAAAAATGTAAAATTAAATGTGAAATTTAAAATTTTTCAAGCTCTGCTTATGTAAAAATTAAAAATCAAAGACTTGTAATGTTCTTGAACTAGAAATGTCGCATTGTTCGCGGAATTCGACTTCTTAATTAAACCTAGGAATAATGTAGGCTGATGGAAGGTTGACCGTGATCTGTCTGTTTAAGAATTTAACCTTTTAACTACAATCGCAATTGTTAATGAATCACAAGACGCATAAAGTTGCAGCCTCGTTTACATGATGGATCGCTGCCCTCCGCTTTAATTTCGTGACGCCTGCTTGACGTACTGCCAGTGTCATATACCGCGTTAAAGGGGCGAAGAGGCTCTTTAAAAAATAGCGGAGGACCGATGCGCGACGAGAGAAAAATATAACGATGAAAAATAATTTCATTGTGCGAATTACTATTTTGCACGTTTCCGCGGCTAACCAGCTTACATCCGTTCGCTTTGACACGTTCGAAGCGGCGAACACTTTGCTCCCGGGAATGGTGTAACGTAAAACTGCAATTTTATCTCATAAAACCCTCTTGTACGTGATATTGCACCCAATAGCAGCATGAAGAAGAAGAAATAAAAAATGTATTTCAACTCAAAGAGTGCATGTCGAATCTGACAGTTATATTCTAGATATAATTAGAAAAAATTCAATATTCGATTCAAGCGTTCTCTTCACAACGCTTTTTATAAACTAAAATTTCTAGAGTTTACAGTTACGTTTTTCAGAAATATTGGAAATCATCATTAGTTTTAAAGGAAATTAAAAGAGATTATTAAACGCCAATAAAATTGATGATTCTATTTTATTTAAATGTATATATTTATTTATTTATAGGATAAAATATTTTGAACGGATTAACCGTAAATTGACCGTATATATGTATATTAATTATAACAACGTATAAACATACAACATGTAGGTATCGTATTTTCAAAACGTGGATGAGAGCCTGTATTAATCACAAGCTCATCCGCTTGCAGCAGATTAAAATTTTTAGAGATATACAAGTTAACGCATGTATTCACCAGAGTGAGGCAAATCTCACGATTTAGTTTAATATGCTACTTGTAAGGATTTTAAAGCGGTATTAACTGAACGAACAATCTTGTATTTTGTACACCGAGAATCATGTCACGCAAAAGAATCACAAAGGAGGATACGCTTCGTGACAATTGTTTGATACGTTAATATCTTTGAAATTCAGATTGAAACGCGACGCGTACTAGCTAGAAACAAATGCAGATATAATTGTAGGTGAACATACTAATTTCGCTATGTAATTTCGCACACACACACACACGCGCGCACGCGCGCGCGCACTCAGCAAATTATTAGGGATGTCATTTACGAATATCGATGAAAATATCGAATGCCCTTCCACGTCTAGCTGCTTTAAACCGGCACGTTAAATTACGCTATTACGCATATAATGCAATATTGGGGATGCGTTCGACCGTGTATGGAGTAATTAAATGCGAAATGGGAATCCGGCAAGTG